TTTTACGAGTTTAGTTATAACAAATTAGTAAAAATAATTTCATTTAAAATATTAATATTTATACGAGTTTAGTTTTCTAAAATTTAAAAAAATATATCAGTCAGTGGTTATGTCAGATCACCTATCAATCACTAATTGAAATTTTGTGTAACTTTAATAATAAGAAATGAACAGTCTAATGCAATGTAACATTGTTCCAAGTAATATACAAAAAAGCCATAAGAAACATTCGTTTTTGAGATTTCTGTCTACATATTCTAATATTTTTCTCTATAGCATAACACTTATACAACAACTTTATATATGACCGACTTTTCCCTATTTTTTTGACTTCTACCCAAGATGCAAGTTTATACGATTACCAAATTCTATTTTAAATACATAACTATACATATTTTTTTAAGCGCAATCAGTTTACTTAGTCTTTAAAGAGCAGTTAGAATAGTTATTTATGCGGTAAATAGCTAAATTTTATTTTATCAATTACTTAATCAATATTATTATTGTAGAAATTACAAATATGCAATAGAATAAAAAACAAAAAATTATATTTCTTTTAATTTTCCATTAATTTTTTACAATTCACTTGTCCTTATGATAATTTCACCATTCTCATAACTTTTTTACAGTCCAGACTTCTGATAATCTTTTACAAACAGAAGCAACGGCATCATCTGAAAGGTTATTTTTGTATATTTTCAATGCACAAAGAATTGTTATTTCATCTTCAGTAGTTCTGCGTTTTGTATCTGTTGTTTTCCTTCGTTTAGATTATGATTCAATGGTAAGTGTTTTATTTGAATTTTCTGCTATTTGTTGTGTAGGTTTAATAATTATTTTTGTTTTCTTTTCAGTCTCATGTCTCGATCTTTTTTTACTATTATAATCTTTCATTTTTATTCTAACAACCCCTGTTACCCTTCTACCCTGCAGATTTCTACGTTCTATCTCTAAGACTTCTTGTCGATATACTGATTTTATTTGTTCTAACCCATTTGAATAACAAGCAATCAGCTGATTAAGCCCTTCTTGATGTATTTCTATAGGTATATATTCTTGAAACAGTTTGTAAGATAAGGTCAGCCATTTCAAAATCACTACAAGATCATCTACGAGTTCCCATAAAGATTTCTTGCGTGACTTAATAGCCCGTTCACTATATGAAACTGAATAATCATCAAGGTATTCACTCATTAGTAAATCTATTCTTTCCCTTTCGTCTTGAGAAGCTTTTATTTGGTCTTTAAGATTCTTCTCATCAAATATATT